AATGACAAAGGTAATAATTTCAGTGATCTAAATCTACCCATTGCTCTCAGAAAAGAAAAAAGGTCATGTGTTAAATACCCTATCTCAAACTATCTGTCCTATTCTCAGTTATCTACATCATTTGCAGCCTTTACCTCTAGCCTTTCCACTGTTTCTATTCCCTTAACCATACAGGAAGCCCTATCTATACCTGAGTGGAAGAAGGCTGCTTTAGAAGAAATGAATGCCCTTGAAAAGAATCAGACATGGCAGACTGTAGAGGTACCCAAAAACAAACCAAGGGTTGGATGCAAATGGGTGTTTACCCCTAAATTCAAGGCAGATGGTACACTTGAAAGATATAAGGCCAGATTGGTTGCCAAAGGATACACACAAACCTATGGCATAGATTATACAGAAACTTTTGCACCAGTTGCAAAATTAAATACTATAAGGATCCTACTATCTCTAGCTACTAACCTAGACTGGCCTCTTCAACAGTTAGATGTGAAGAATGCTTTCCTAAATGGGAAGCTTGAAGAGGAAGTATACATGAGCCCCCCTCCTGGGTTTGAGGAACAATATGGCTCAAAGGTGTGCAAGCTAGAGAAAACCTTATATGGGCTTAAACAGTCTCCAAGGGCTTGGTTTGAAAGGTTTACTCAATTCATAAAGAAGCAGGGATTCAAGCAAGCCCAAGCAGACCATACACTATTCATGAAATTCTCCATTAAGGGAGAAATTGCAGTACTAATTGTTTATGTGGATGATATAATTCTTACAGGAAACTATTGTGAAGAGATTGAAGACCTGAAGAAGAAGCTTGCTCAGGAATTTGAAATCAAAGACCTGGGAGAATTGAAGTATTTTCTTGGCATGGAGATAGCCAGATCAAAGAAGGGAATTGTGGTATCCCAAAGGAAGTATGTACTAGACCTACTTCATGAAACAGGTATGAGTGCCTGCAGACCAATAGATACTCCAATTGACCCTAATCAAAAGTTAGGAAATGTCAAGGAAGGAGTACCAGTTAATATTCACCAATATCAAAGATTGGTGGGAAGGTTGATTTATCTGGCACATACAAGGCCAGATATTGCCTTTGCAGTCAGTATGGTTAGTCAGTTCATGCATAATCCATTCCAAGAACATCTAGATGCTACCTACAGGATCCTAAGATATTTGAAAAGCTGTCCAGGGAAAGGATTATTTTTTAAAAGAAGTGACAATAGAAGTGTAGAAGCCTTTACAGATGCAGATTATGCTGGTTCAATAACTGATAGAAGGTCTACATCTGGGTATTGTACTTATGTATGGGGGAATCTGGTGACTTGGAGGAGTAAGAAGCAGAATGTTGTTGCCAGAAGTAGTGCAGAATCTGAATTTAGATCTATGGCTAATGGAATCTGTGAACTACTTTGGATCAAGAGAATGATGACAAAGTTGAATATGGAAATGGACCTACCTATGAAGTTATATTGTGACAATAAAGCAGCCATTAATATTGCTCACAATCATGTGCTACATGATCGTACTAAACACATTGAGGTGGACAGGCATTTTATCAAAGAGAAGATTGAAGCTGGAATTGTGTGCACACCATTCATATCTACTAAAGAGCAGACAGCTGATATCTTTACAAAGGGGCTGTTTAAACCAGTGTTTGAATTTCTTATAAGCAAGTTGGGAATGTATGATATATACTTACCAACTTGAGGGGGAGTGTAGAAAAATGTAGCATATACATGTTATTTTATTATGTGTACATCCGGAACTGTATAGATAGGAATTAGAGTTGATTTAGGGCTCTAACTCTTAGATTAGCTCGCAGTGTAGATAAGAATAGATAGATCCTAATATTTAGGATCTGTAACAAACCTTAGTTTATCTGTAATCTTGTATATATATCATTGCCGGATGGCTCAATAATACAAGTAAGATTAATTCTTCAAACCTACAATTCCGAACCACACAGACTTGACACTATTGACAGGAAGGAGAAGCTTCCAGTTCGCCGTTGCTGACCGAGTCACACGAGTCTGGCAATCCACGACAACCTATCTCTGAAGATAGGTTCATCAATGGTTACGAGGGACGCGAGGAGAAATCTTCTGTGGTGATTCAGTACTCCATTGCCATGGAATATGAATCTGCCGTTGATAAAATTGCTGGTTCAAATACTTGGGAACGCTCTACAGGGACTGCCCGTATAGAGGAAATTGAGGAAATAGAAGAGGGGAATGATAGAAAGAAGCTTCAGGGAATCATCAGCTCATACACGGGTGCTACTGAGGAACTAATCAAACAAGGATGGGAAACGTAGATTGAAAAGGACGGTTACGTTGTTCGGTTCTACAATGGCGTGCACAGTTTTAAGTATGAGTTTGGATTAGATCTGACATCTGAGCTCTAAATTAAACTCATGTTATCATGTTGCACCAAAGAGGAAGTTAGCTGGGCATCTTACTGGTATGAAGAAATTATTGTATATTTCTGGTGCATTGGAGGTTGGGGTGACTACATTAATTAAGGAGGTTAAGAATCCAAGAAATATCATTCTTCTTATTGATGAGGTCCCTACTCTAAGTGGTTCTGGCACGGATAGGAGAGGAAGTACACACTAATCAGCATGCCTCAGCATTTTCCCTTGGCTTTTAGTCAATCCTTAACTAATGCTTTGGGAGAAAAGGCTGGAAACTATGTGGAACATTATAATGAAGTCAGGGAAACGGTGAAATTGAAGCAAGGATTGAAAATTCCCATGTCTCTTTCTGGTGAAGGAAATGATTACCTGCAAGCAGACCGATTTTGCAAGCTTTATATGAAAGTTAGGCCTTCATGTTCCATAGTTATGAGAACTGCGGCGGCGTTGAAAGATGAAAGGGTTGAATGGTATCTTGAATTTCTGCCTACACTCCTAGAGGAATTCCTCCAGGGGCGATTGCTCTGATACCAATGTTAGGAACCTCAAATTTAGACGGTAAAATTGGCGTATATTAGAGAAAGAAGCTGAACAAAAATACACGAGACACTTAGAGCAGTCCCCTCTCCCAATCCTATTTCCAATTTCTGCCTACCTTTCATTCTACTCCCAACTCCTAGTAATAATAGTTTCCTTATGGGCCACTCCCAGGACCCTCTTATGCACCATCACAATTATTTAATACGGAGTATTATTCTAATATTCTTATTATTATTCATCTCAGCCCCGATCCTATCAAAAAGTTACCTTTGTGCTTTAGTTAAATGCCATTAAACTCATGCATGATTGATGTTAATAGATATTCCTTCCAATTTCTATGCAGCAAAATTTAATAGTTGAAAGTAAAAGTTACTTTGTAATGCCAAACCCTAACTATCTTACAATGTCCTAACAAGTTTTAATGGAGAGATTGGGAGAAGTAAACAGAAAGCATACTGTACCATAAACCAAAAAAGCAATAACAGAAGCATAATGAAAGCATACCTTTGCTTGCCTTGTAAATTCTCAAGCTCACATATAAATTTGGTAAAGCATCGAATTCCATTACCACACATCTGCATATAAAAAGACCTCTATCTCACATCCTATACATGTAAATGCAGTTTAGAAATTCCCATTCAAGTTTCTTTTTCTATTTGTCCCAAAAACGTTTCCACTTTCCTTTTGAAGTAAATAATTTATGGTTCTACTTATTTCTCTCTCCTATGTAAAACTCTCAACCACACAATTTTTTACTTTTCTTATTTCACAACTAACACATACTTGGCGATGTCAAATGGGACAGAGGTAATATACTAGCTAGAAACAAATAAGGTGAAATGATACCCTAGAAACTAATATCTCAGACTAAGGATTAAACACATTACCTCAGGCTCACTACCATCAGAATTGAATATCCTCATGGTATAATCAGTCCCATTGATACCGGGCATTGTAAAAATCACACCATCAGCACCAATGCCGAAATTTCTATCACATAGTTTCACAGCCTGCTCGGGAGTGATTTTAGGTTTTGCTGAATCTCTATTATCAACCTGCAAACAAACACTCAGCTCAAGTAACATTGCTAACCGTGCAGTGTTTTATTAGCAACACATGAAAGTCACAACCTGTGCTTTAGGTTTGAAATCTAGCTTGAACTAGACCAGTTTGAAAAACACCTGGTCCTTCAAACTTAAAAGCGCTACACAAAAACAACCCTATAAGAGAAGAGAACTTATTCATATTACCAATATGAAATCGTTGCCGAGGCCATGATACTTGACAAAGTGAAGTTGTCCACTTTCTTTACGATCTAGAAACGACGCGGGAGAATCTTTCTCGGTAACTTCCGGGCTCAGTGACAAAGCAGCTGAAGTGCGGAGAGTAGGGAGCCGGACGGTGGAACAAACCGGAGCGCTGAGAGTATTTCGTGACACAGATAACGGAGTGGGATGAGATACTCTTAAAGGAGCGGTTAAGAAGGAAGACAGCGACCAGTGATTTGGGGGCGTAACCGGAAGCGTCATAGCGGCGGGTATTTCCATGGAAGAAGACGATGACTGAGTGAGAGAAGATGGTCAAAGAGAGAATTTGGTTCTTCAAGGGGTGGTATATTGGTTTGGTTTAACCGAGGGGGCCTGTTGCCCTGCTTCAGCGGTGCGAGATAGCCGATAGGTAGAGGAATCCAGGAAGGGTTAGGTCGTAGGGGAGGCAGTCGAGTTCTCCGGCGACGATGAACTCGGGAAGTAATGAACTATGAAGGTCGTTTGAGAGAAAGAGCGACGGCGAACGACGTCATTTGCCGACCTAGGCTAATTAAAAAAAAATCAGCCAAGGGCCGATTGGGCTTAGCCAGGCCCAGACGAGCAAATCAGGATCCAGCTCTGAAGCCACGTGGAGTGGGCCAATTGGGCTAACTAAAAAAATCAGCCAAGGGCCGATTGGGCTTATCCAGGCCCAAACGATTAAATCAGGCTCCAGCTCTGAAGCCACGTGGAGTGGGCCAATTGGTCTAATTAAAAAAATCAGCCAAGGGCCGATTGGGCTTAGCCAGGCTCAAACGGCAGAAATTCAATTGCGGTCCGCCCTCCTCGTATCAGCAACCTTTCTATTCCATTGTCCGTAGTGAGTTGTGAAAATGGACCCCTCCTCCGAAACCAGACCTTCTCCGACCGTGTGGAGGCTGAAACCCATCGAAGCTACATCGGAGACCTTCCGAGGGTTCGGGCAAGTGATTGAGGCGGCGCCTGACGGCGACGAGTTCGGTCCCCACGATGCTCAACTCGACCTCAGCCGCGGCGTTCCTAGGTTATTCAATTCCTCCCAACACATCACTCTCTTGATTAGTTGCCCTTAATTTACCAGTTATATTTCTCTCTTTTTAATTTTGTTGTTACCTGTTAGAACTTGGACCTCGGGAGGTTGCTTGTCTGATGAATTTGGTTTTATTTTATACGTATTCCTTTTTATTTGGAAAAAAGAAGTTTGATTCTTAAACATTCTCTTAATTCAAATCAGAAATTAATGTGGAAACAAGGTGATACTGTATTTTAATTGCGAAAATAACTTTAAATAATACAAACTATCTTCCATGTACAAAGAATAATACATACTTTGGAAATTACTTTTAATAATATCAAGTATCAACTACTTAAATATAGATCAAAAGTGATATAGAGCCATTTTTCAATGAAAATTAAATTATTTAATTCATCAAAAACTAGTATCAAGACATCAAATAAGTGACTGTATTTCCAAGTATAATTTATTTGATAATTTGCTATTAGTTTTTAATGTCTTGACTGGATTTCTTGTCGAAAAGTGACTCCATATTATTTTTTGTTTATGCTCAAATAGTTGGTATTATTAAAAATCATATGTAAAGTATGTATTATAATTGGGTTATGGGTGATAGTTGGTATTATTTAAAGTTATTTTACCTTGTTAATTTAAGAAGATTCACAGAACCTGTTTGGGAAGGTGAATTAATTCAAACTAGCTGAAGAACTTGCTGCATTAGGGGATAATATTAAAACATATTTCCACTATATAAAAAAGAAAATATTATAGGAAAATAAAGTTGAAAATGTCATCTTCTTTAACTTCAACAACTTTAAAAGAAAAACAGTACTTCTTTAGTTCAATTTTTCAATACCAACTTATTCAGCCCACTTTGTCGAATAAAGTAGTGTTTGATAGAAAAAACCCAAACAAACACTCGTTCTTGCAGGCAAATCCCGCATAAATTAGCAATAGTAAAGGGAAATTAAATGGATAATAAGTGGGAGAGTAATAGGACAAATTGCTTTATTGTTTTTTAACAACTGGACAATGGATGGAAGCGATCAAGTTCTGAAGTAGAAACGGCTAAACAACAAGCTCTCGAGACACTCAACTTTCTATTCACTCTATTCCTAGCCTGATTTAACATTAGTATTTGCTTTTAATTCTTGACTACTTCACGATGGAAGCAAAAGAGGATTGTAGTTTAGATGGGGAAGAGCATCAGAAGCTTGACATTTTTTATGTCTATGATTATCCACAAATGCATAATCCATTATCATTTAGTTATCCACTTATATGGTCCGTCAATCTAATGAGGTGCTAACTGATGCGGCCTTTTAAGGTTTTACATAATGCAGCTAAAAAACCGGTCACTGAAATTTTCAACCATCACACACCATGCCAATGTAACACAGTGTCTTGGATCAGTCGGAGGACGTGTTTGGTATCTTGGAGTTGCTAAGCCATCTGTAGTAGATCCAAGTGGCGGCACAGTCGTTGCTAATAATGTGCGGCGATCAGACTGTGGGCATTTCTATGTGCCTCCTGCTGTTTATGAAGTGCATGCATTTAGAATCAAAGGTTCAAAGTTTATAAAGCTAAATATAGGTACATGGCATGCTGGACCGTTGTTCACAGATGATATGATGGACTTCTACAATCTGGAACTGAGCAATACAAATGTAAGGTCTCTTAAGTTGCCTTATTACAATCTTTCTTTACTCATTGATAGATTTCAGAATTGTGGTGAGTTGATCAACTGGGCTAACCACAGTAACCACATCAAAACTAATCGCTTAGAGTGTGGTAATGTTTATCATCTTTTACAGTTTGTTTGATTCAAGGAGAATGAGTAAAGGAGGGAGAAGACTGGGTTTGTTTGTGTCTAGGTAGTAAATAGATGGAGGTTCCCTTAAATAGGTCAATCTGACCCTTTCGAAATTGGTGTTGATTAGGAGAGGAGTTGACACCATTGACACCCTCTCAAAATCATAATCTCCCCCCACCTTTTATTTTGCAATCCAAATAAGATTTATTAGCTGTTTATAATTCAATCCTTCATTTCGTTTACTAAACCTTCAAGCTTCAACTCATCTCTTCTATTCTTATCTTTCACTAACCTGCCCTATCCGGTTATCCCTCAACACACTCTCAATACCATAATCTTTCCCTCCTACTTGTGTGCTATGATTGGCTATTCTTTTTTTTTTGAGAAGTAATCAACTTGAAATTAGTCATTAGTGTCTTTTTTTTTACACACTAAGGTTAGCAGACAGAATGTGAAGATATCAGTGTATCACAACTTTAGGAGGTAAATCACACGTAATTTTTTGTCTGGTCCCGAATGGGCTTCCTAATGAGTACCTAGTTGGCAGATTTATCTGTAAAATAATGCAGGAAATGTTTCAATGTGGCCTCTTGGTGTTGAAATTGCATGTGTTTTTCTTATATATGATCCACGTGTTAAATTAACGTCACTTATCCGTTATTACACACAGGTTGTTGATCACACAACACATGACTTCATCAAGGAGAATAGGGTGGTATTCCATTTGGAAGAGTAACTGATTTTCTTCGGCAAGAGTGTGTACGGTCATCGATTTCTGCTTCCTCTGCTCAACTTGTTACAATCTTCTGATTCTTTTCCTTGTAAGAGATTTGTAAATAAAAACTTGTGTTTGTATTTGTATTTAGGAGCACCGTACTTCAACGTTCTCCCTATTATTAATACACATTATCTGGCCTCTTTGGCAAATGCATAGAGCAGCAGCACTATCCGTTTGTAATACGAGATGTTTTTGTTCCAACTTCCATTACCATATTAACCAATTTGAGTTATTTTCCTTTGAATTTGGTTTATTGAAATTGACAACAAATTCGGTTAAATATCTAAATTGATTTCTCATTATTGAGTCAAAAGTTTCAACAAAGTTAAAAAGTGAATCAAAGTATCTAAAATTCCCTTTCAAATTTAAATAGGGACATGATAAATAAATAACATACTAGAGAAGGTTGTGTTTCATAAACTACTCAATTATATCAATTAAAAGTGTTAATACTTTGGATGTTTGTTTTTACTTGGACTGTTTTCAGTCCCAAACTAGACTTAAATAGAACAAACCTGATCAGATTTTAAACAGATCAAACCAGATCAGACTTAAACAGATCAACTTGACTTCCGAAGTTATAAAATATACAGAGATCAGACGTTTACCAGACAATTTCAGACCTGACCAGATTAGATTTAAACATAGCAGATCAAACTAGATCAGATTTAAACAGATCAGACCAGCAAAAATTACACTTCAAGTAAAAACATCGTTCTTTACAAAAAAAAAGTTTTAATACTTCATCTGTTCATCATCGAGTACTTTTACAATACAATATGGAGTATGTCTTTGTTTGAGCCCCACTGCTACCAGCTCATTAAGTTCTAAATTTAATCTTTTGAGATTAGAAAAGAGTTTAACCAAATTTCTAAACTTGATTTATTGAAATTGGAAAACAATGTTTGGCCAAACATCTAAAATTGATTTCACTTGATTAAACTAATACTGCAAACTTGAAAAAAGTAAACAAGACCAATCAAATTTAAAAAATATCACTACGCATAAATTGATTATATAAAAATTATTACAAGTAACAATCTTATCAAAACTACAAAGTTCTATATAGCCGAAGAGGATTTGGAGAGAGATGGTTCAGAAAATCCACAAATAAAAATCTCTTAACCTAATTGACTTTTTATTTTTTTGTTTCAATCAATTATCGGTGCTGTCCTGCAAAAACGACACCTATTTCTCTGCAGCCATTTGACAACGCATTTAGTGTCGAAATTGTGTGGAATTAAGTCGTCCAAACACACACGACAAGCTTCAGGCTCTCTATTCGCTCTTGATGGGGAAACGGCGGCCGGGAAAGATGGCGCATCTACAAAGACGGTGGAAACCAGAACGCCGTCCACAAACAAATCATACTGACGTTGACGGCGCGGCGGCTGTAATTGTGGCCTCCTATCCCGCGGGGCATAAGCTGCTGTCTCAATCTGAGACCTCCATCCGGCCGGGAAATATGGGGCAGCGTCGGCCGAGAGGTGCGGCGCACGGGTTATGCGGAGTGCGGAGGAGTTGGGAAGCGGAGAAGCTCTCATGGTTGCCATTCTGATCGATCTTCTGAATTATTTGCAGTTCTTCAAGTATTGGCCGCATGGATTGGCTATTTTATAGAGCCCATGTATAATCAATCCCATTCTGTGTATTGTTTCCTAATGTTTAACAATCCCAATTCCCAAACCTTGTCCAAATCAATTTCCTCAAACCAAATTTTTAATAAATCAACTGATATACTTCGTACATTAATAAGTATTCTGTGTAGTATTTCCGATGGACGTGACACATAACGAAACTTGCTTTGCAATCCAAAACAATCCCTGTTTTCTTTAATTCGGAAGTTCTCCCATCTTATACCCATCTTATACTAAATTGATTTTTGAAAGATTTTTTTATATGTGAATTCAATTCACAGATAAAATATGTGTTATTTTGTCTGTGCAAATTTTGTACAAACACAAATTGTCCGTGAACAGAACTCATAAATAAAAAAGCCTTCACAAACACGAGTGTGTATAAAAGTGGTTACAAACATCATTTTTGTCCCGCATATACCCTTGTACCCTTTAACAAGGGTTCGGGTATGTTTGCAAAAAATATATAAAAAAGTGATTTTTAGATTTTGGCTTAAAAAGGGATGAAAAAGTGTTTCAAGTGACAATTTTTGCTTAAATTAAACATTTAAAAGTTATAAGCCAGATACTGCTTTTTTATTTTTTCTATTACACAACAAACATATATTTTATAAAACATTGCCAACTTTTACTTCTCAAATTCATTTTTTTATCAAACACTATCAACTTTTACTATGAACAACTTTTTTCAAGTGATTTGTTTAAAACAGAAGCAATTGCAAACGCCCCCTCAATATATTACTACCACCGTCTCACTAATACCGGGACCTCAGGAAGTACACAGTTATTAAGAAAAGTATGTTTATGTGATTGGTATTGGCTTGATAAAGTAAGAATAAAATAAAAAATGGTTAAGAATCACACAAATTCTTGTGAGAAAATAATACTGTGATGGACTGATCGAAAAGGAAGACGAGACAATCTAAATTGAACGGAAGAGTGCTTCACAAAATTTAAGAACATCATTACATCGCAACTATAGTTTTTTTATTAGAAAATATACAGAGAGATGAAAGAGAGAAGAAGCGGAATTTTTCATTAAGCATCTGAAGCAATATTACAAAGTATATATAGAGTTGGTTAGGTCAACCACTAACTAACACTAACCGAACTCTAACAGATATAGGAAAGTCTATTCTAATGTATATCTAACATCCCCCCCCCCCCCCCCCCCCCCCTCAAAGTGAAGGTGATTGATCTGTAATATCAACCACACTGAGCTTTGTTCTGAGATCAAGAAAATTGGAGCTGGAGAGTGGTTTGGTTAGAATGTATGCAACTTGATATGGAGAAGGAATGTGATAGACTTGAAGCTGCTTCAGATGAACCTTTTCTCTAACAAAGAAGAGATCAATTTCCATGTGCTTGATCCTAGAATGTAGGACAAGATTGTGAGCAATTCTGAACAGTACTCAGATTATCACAGTACACTCTGGGAATGGAAAAATGTATTTGGAGCTCTTGTAGAGGAAATTAAATCCATTGTAACTCTGCAGTGGTGTCAGCAAGGCTTCTGTATTCAGCTTCAGTTGAGGATCTTGCTACTCTGAGTTGCTTCCTTGACCACAAGGAAACTATGTTAGAACCCAGAAATATACATGAGCCAGATGTAGATTTTCTATCATTGGGATCTGATGCCCAGTCTGCATCACAGTAGGCTGAGATTGGAAGAGGTATGGAAGACAAAGGTAGAGGTTTGATGATAAGACCATGTGTAATTGTGCCTGATAGATATTTGAGAATGTGTTTGACTACAAGCCAATGTTCTTGCAGTGGTGCAGCCATAAATTGGCAAACCTTGTTGTCTGAAAAAGATATGTCAGGTCTGGTTAGAGTAGCATATTGAAGAACACCTACCACAGATCTGTAGTAAGAAGGGTTGGGAAGAAAGTTGTTGCCCTCTTGAGTGAGTTTGCAAGTGTTAACCATGGGTGTTTTTACTCCTTTAGAGTCAAGCATACCGGTTTGGCTAAGTAAGTCCTTGATATACTTAGTTTGGGAGAGATGTAAGCTATCATCACGGAGTTTGTGAGCTTCTATGCCCAGAAAGAAGTCAAGATCTCCCAAATGTTTCAAAGAGAAGGATGAATCAAGTGATTTAATAAGTTGTTGGATATCAGTAGGCTGATTGCCAATAACCAATATGTCATCAACATAGATCAAAATGTATATTTGAACACTAGAAGACAGATAAAAGAGTAAGGAGGGATCAAATTTACTCTGTTTGAATCCAGCTTGATAGAGAACTGAGGTTAATTTGAGAAACCAAGCCCTTGAATTGGGGCTTGTTTGAGGCCATACAAAGACATATGTAGCTTGCAAACCAAGGAAGTGTCTTGCACTTGAAAACCTGGAGGCTGAACCATGTAAACTTCTTCCTCAATTTCACCATTTAAGAATGCATTATTTACATCCAGCTGTTGAACAGACCACTTGTTAGACATAGCAAGTGTAAGAAGGATTCTTATTGTCACAGGTTTGACAACTGGAGAAAATCTTTCCCAAAATCAGTACCATACTGTTGATGAAAACCCTTAGCCATCAGTCTGGCCTTGTATTTGTTTAGAGAACCATCAAGATTTTCTTTGATTCTAAACACCCATTTACAGCCAATTGCTTGTTTGTCTGGAGGAAGGGGTACAAGAGACCAGGTTTTATTGGAAATCAATGCATTGTACTCACACTTCATAGCCTCAAACCATTCAGGGGAAGAGAGAGCTTGTTTTACTGAGGTAGGATCAGTATGAGCTAACAGTAAGGTTGGATTAAGCCTTGGTTTTACTATCCCAGATTTTGCTCTAGTCCTCATAGGATGATTATTGATAACAGGAGGAGGGGAGGTTGGCGAAATAGCAGAAGAGGACTGAGTAGTAGTATTTGGTAAGGTTATAGGAGTAGAAGAAGATGAAGAGTCTGACTCTAATGAAGAGTGATGACTGTGATGATTTGAAGAAGACTGAGATTCTGAAGAGGATGACTGGTTGAAAGGAATAGAAGATGTACATGATTTGGATGGAAGAGAGATAGATATAGGAGCAGAAACATGTAATGATGGTGCAGATGAAGGAGAAGCTGTGGAGGGAAAAAGAGAGGGGTAAGGAAACTTTGATTCATGAAAGATAACATCTCGAGAGAGAGATATCTTTCCTGAAGGAGACAAACACTTGTAACCTTTGTGAGTAGAGGAATATCCAAGGAAAATACACTCTTCAGAGTGAAAATTAAGCTTATGTTTGTTATATGGCCTAATGAATAGAAAATAGGAACAACCAAAGACTTTGAGAAAAGAGTAATCTGGGTGGGAGTTATACAATTTGAAGTAAGGGCTATAATTGGAAAGAGACTTGGATGGAGTTATGTTGATGAGATGAACTGCAGTTGCAAAGGCTGCATCCCAGAATTTAAGAGGCAATGAGGAATGTGAGAGAAGAGATAGGCCTTTTTCAACAATTCTTCTGTGTTTTCTTTCCACAACACCATTTTGATGATGTGTGTGTGGACAAATGACCCTGTGAGTAATTCCTTTCTCACACAATAATCGGTTAAATGATCTGAATTCACCTCCCCAGTTAGATTGTATGGACTTAATGGAAACAGAAAA